GAGCCCAGTGTTGATCCCTGGGGACCGCAGTTGTGGCAGGCTGCCAGCCCGAGTGAAAACGGAGGGGCTAGGAGTCACCCAGCCTTCCATACCCTCAGCCGTGCCCAGGACCAGCTCTGTGCAGAGCTCCAGCAGCACAGAAAGCTGGTGCATGGGACAGATCTCGTCCTCCTCCATGTCCTACAGAGCAGTTCTTGGAGCACTACTAGTCTGAATCCAGAAGGCTTTCTCTCTGCAGATCTTAGGATGAACAGGGTTTCAGTCCAGGTTTGAGATAGAGGATCTGTTGTCATCCTCCACGCCTCGAAGGGCTGGAACAGAGAGGAACAGAGCCGAGGTCAGAGCCCAGATCTGCAGGGACCCCAGGAACCCCTCCTGCCAGGAACCCGCCCAGCTCTCCCCCTGGCCAGGAGGGAGCAGGGGACAATGGGACCAGCCGGAAGGTGCTGGCCACAAATACCCCACGTGCCCCTGAAATCTCTCTCTGTTCTGCCCAGGCTGCCCTCATCTGTGCAGGGAGCAGAGTCCTCCCCGGCCAGGGCAGGGATCGCATCTCCTTGCCCAGCATCCTTCCTCCTCCCCACCAGCCCCTGCTGCCCTCACTCACCCTTGTAGATGACCTGGAGCTTCTCCTGCTGCCCCCTCACATACCACCCAGTGAGCCAGGGCTGGGGCCAAGCCCCCGGGGGGTCGTGGCTCACCAAGGAACCTGACGGCCTCCTCTCGCATGGACTCCTGTGGGCTCTCCAAGTACCGCAGGGACTGCTGCACAAACTCATCTCTTCTGCTGCTGGACTCTGACAGCTGGAGAGAGCACAAGGGGATGGAAGGAAGGGTTGGTGCAGACCCTCCCCCTTGGCCAGGTGCTCCCTGCACCCAGGACTGGTCTCCTCCCTGACAGGACACCCACAGCTACCAGCCAGCAGCCGGGCTGGGGCTCCGTTGGCACCCCCAGGCTTGGGGAGGGAGAGGAGCCTGGAGAAGAGCCCACAGGGCTGCATGCCCAGGGAAAGGAGTGTCTGCGGGATGTAGGCTGGTGGCGATGGGCTGCAGCAGCAGACAGGGACAGATTCTGGAGTTGTGAGGTTTTGGAATGTGGTTCAAAGTTACATTCACCATTTTACAAGAGAACAGATCACTAGAGCTGCTGGTAAGTACAATGCAGGTTTTATAGATGAAAGGAATGACCTAAAGGCACAATGTTCACATTCAAGGCATACAAATGACATAGGAAAAAATTTCTAGACAGGAAACTTATCTCAGTAATTTATGATGCAAGCTGTCATGGAAGTCAATGAACGCCCAAGTTCTTTATAAACTTTTTAACAGGAAAGCTCAACTATTTCCACATGTAAACAAGTAAAGCTGTTATTGGCAGTGCTATATCCCCCAGGATCATCTAACACATGGGATACAGTAAAGTCAGGCAATGGGAAGCAGCGAGAAAAGAGCAGTAACCTTTCTGATAAGGCATTATCAGAGTTTTCCCCGTACAAGTATTCCATTTTCAGCTACAAAGACAAGCAGAGCAGCAGCTCCAGAAGTGATGAATGCATGTGCTGGCCTCTTCTGTCAGCAAGCTGCACCTCCACCAGCTGCATCCTAACACAGAAAACATTCCCCACGTACAACAGTGCTGCATATCCTTGTACAAGCAAACACTAAAACACACAAAACGGCCTCGTCTTGTCTTCACCATCTTGGACCAACGTGTTTTCCCAGCACACGTGGACTGGAACACCCCATTGTGCACAGAGGCAGGGCTGCACGCAGGATTTGGTTTCCAGCCAGGCAGCTGTGTTTCCACTGCTCGAGGTGACTCACCTGGGGAGTACTGTGCTTCAGCAGAAATTCTCTCTCCATCTACCTAACTACTCATCTGGAGACCTCACGTGGCACCCATGTATTCTGCCTGACAGCCCTCAGACTAGCTGAAATCATGGTAGAGCTTCTGGACTATCCCTGACAGCCACTGCCAGCAAAAGGAAAATACCTAAACCTTCAAAATCAAACCTCTTGGGAGGTCACTCCTAGACACTGAGGATGAAGACAGATACAACACATTGCAAGGTAAATAAATGCTGTTTGTAGTGGTTTCCTTCAGTTGGTAATGCCACACAAAATGCCACAAAATCCACCTACTATTATAGACAGAAAGCAGAAAGAGCAACCTCACCATAGCAAAGCATCACAACACTGAAAGCTGACCAACAAGCTCTTCTCCCTTTCAAAATGCAAACACCTGCAAACAGATGTTTGAAAGATTAAACAAATGGCAATGCTCCGAGCATACAAATTATCACAAAAGAAACAAGCGACGACTGCACATGAGGCCTTTGGGAACACTCTCTAGATGAATTAAGTCTCTCCCATGTGGGGTTGTGATTGCTGAGCTTCTGCATTGCTGCACAGTTCCAGGCAAACCGGGAAGAAATCCACACTGTTCGTGCAGAGTCCGAGATGTGGGTGATCGTTTGGACCAAAGGCTGTCCTTGCTGCGGGGGATGATGCTGAAATACGCTGTATTCTGGCATGCCAGCATTACACACCTCAGCAGGTCTGACAGACCATGCAAGTAACAAGCTAGACCTGCCTACTACATGAAGGAGAGGGAAGGGAGATTGATTCATTAAGACAAGCAATTAGTGGCTAAAGGAAACCCATGAACAGCCCCTTTGAGTGAAATTGAAAAGCAAAGTGATTCTGGCAGCAGCGGCAGCACTCTTGGAATTAGGAGTGCTTTCTAACAGCAGCTGACAAGGACTAATTGCTGCCATTGAACATCAGGGGAGACGAAGAAAAAGGAGAGCTTGGGTAATGTGGGAGTCCTGCCAGGAGATAAACAGTCGTCTTCATGTTCTACCGTCATCTTGCAACAAGCAGAAAGGGCTGTTTCATCAAAAAAATAAAAAAACCCCAAATCCTAGTACACTGACACTCTGGTGGATCTGTTACCATTTGCTTGGTGGTTACCGCCAGCTCAGAGAAATTATTCTTGTTGAATCGGTACCTGTGTGAGCAAAAGAAAAAAAAATTACAGTAGAGCTCCCTGCTTACCTCAACATTTTGCCTTCATCTCATGACATCCGCTTGGGAAACAGGATGCCTTGTGCAACACTTGGGATCAAAGAGCTCTTTGCAGCATCCATCCAGAACACGATGTCTTAGCGGAGCAGCAGACATAGTGGTTGTCAGGAAGTGAAAGCAAAAGAAACACCTGCATGCAAAGTACCTGTGATGGCCAATCCAGAATCTCCCACTGAAGATGCTCAGTGCAGACACAGCGCTCCCTTTCACATGAGACGGCACAATGCACACATCTGCTTCCTGCGAGACACTACCCTCTCTGTTCACACCCTGACGCGAGTGCTGGGGGCTGCCAAGGCTCAGCTTCACAATCAGCCCACGTGCAAAACAGTCTGATCACAACCACGATGCCATCTAGATAGTCTACAAGGCACAAACTGGAGAGGGACTCCATTTTCTCAGGGAACTGATTATCTCTAATGAGAGGTTGTTCCCAAAAGCTCCATCATAAACAGCTATCTTCTTTCCCAGGCTAGCTAACTACAATTCATTCACTCCTTTTTATGGATTATGTTGTTAAGACTCCCAGTTCCTCTTCTCACTGTTCTGAACGCCCTCCAGCCACGCCATCACCTTCCCTGAAGGTTAACACTACCATGGGATGCTGTACCCAGCAGAGGACTCTTGCGCTGTAAGCAGCAGGAGGATTATTTCATCCATCTCTCAGACAACACAACACAAGCTATTTAATATTCCATTTCAGGTACTTTTCTGCAGAACTGCTGTCTCATCAGATTTCCCCGCCCCCCCCCCCCCCCCCTTGTGCCAGTGTAGCCAGTAACACCCAGGTAACTGTAAAACTTGCATTTGTTCTTACGGAACTGCAGCCTATTTCTCAGCCACACTGCAGCTGCGTTTGACCTGAGCAGGCGCGGCTTAGAGCGGCATCGGACTAGATGACCTCCAGAATTCCATTATTCTACAGCCTGTTCTCCAGGTGACTGGGAGTTCACTGCATCCAAGAAAACGCCCAGTAACTGGTGATCCTTCTAGATTTTTAGGTGGTTACAAGTCATTGAAGCTGAGCTTCAAGTGAATATGAAGTTATCCCTGAAAAATGGTGAGATAACTGATTCAGGAACGTTTGGCACAGGTATAAGTTGTCTTGCAGAAAAACCCTCTCCAGGAGAAGGAGCCAGGCTCTAATGTTCAGGCTGATCAAGTTGTTCCAGATTATCCTTGTCAACAGCTACAATTAATGCTTAACCTGCTGTCTTTAAAGAAGACAGAGTTCTCTGCATCCATTGCTACTCTGCCTGGCTTTCACGTCCCACTGGTACCTGTGGCTCCAACCCACTTCTTCTGCAGAACTTGATGAAAAAAAGACACAAGGCTTACGACTAGACGCTGAACTGCAGCTCTGGAGACTTTGGGTCAACTCTTCGCTCTGCAGTTCATCATTTACAGCACAGGAAGGCTATACCAACCCGCCACAATGCCGCACCTCAACAGTGGGGAAAATAAACCTTATTCCTACCCACAACTCTGTCTTTTCTATTTGGTTTTGACGTTCTTCAGTGTTAAAATGAATCAACTGTAAAGGATCCAGCACAGCAACTCCTAATTTTCTAGAGGGCCTCCAGCACAAAGACAACTAAACTAACCTTGGGTTATTCATGGTTTTCCAAAGGCAAAGGAGCAAAATAAGATATGTAAAACAGTGCCAAAAATTGTTAGAAACGCCAGATGGAAAATTCTATTTTTCAGAAAAAACAAATGAGGAATAGTGTTGAGCTCTTATTTCTTTTCCAATATTAGGCAACACCAATACAAAGATCAATAATTAATACTAACTCTTCTTCCAGAGACATATCAATTTAACATCACAGATGCTGATAAATTATTCAAGTCAGAGAATGGATTTAAAGAGGGCTTACCCTGCTCAGGTAGCTGCCCTTGGATTTCAGCTGCATTCATTTGATTTTGCTGGAAATCTCTTTCAGAAGGCCTTTCAAATCAGAGAGCTTAAGAATTAAAAAAAAAAAAAAAGGCTTTGTTTACATCAACTCAATCTAACTCATTCCAACAGATAATTGCAGTTTGGGATGAAGGGAAAGGAATAAAACAAGCAAGTGGCAGTAAGTACCTTAAAATGCCCTAGAACATACATACCCTAGAAAATAGTGTTCAACATCAGCAACAACAGGCATAACCCCCCTTATCTGAACTCCAGCCTCCCTGGCTGTCCTGGGGAAGCCAGCCACTATTTTGGAAGCGGTACCTGACTGCTTGTCACATTCAGCAGTCCCACGACGCTGGCAAGCGATGGAGTGTTAATATTGCCTTTCACAGGAAAGCAATGCTAGTAGGTAATATGTGTAACAAGTAATTGCCTCTCCAAATATTATATGAAATGCAACAGTGCTTGAAAGGACACTCTCAATTACACTCTTCATCAGTGCAATTAATGCCAGGAGCCCTAATGCATATGTATGTCACCTAGTTAACAGGCAGGCATCGTGGCAGCTACAAGCTCCCAGCTACACTCCATCTCCTCGTGCTCCTTCAAAGCAGAGGCTGGGGATCTGTGCAGTTTTGAGGAGCGTTCATTCTGACACACAGAGCTGCCTTCAAACCTTCCCCAGGTGATAACTCAGCCTATTGCTCCTTGGGATATCCACACCAAGTTTAAAGAAGAGTTTGCCCCATGATCAAGGCTCATGCCTAGGACTTGGTTACATCCTCAGACTACGTTTCTGTCATTACAGATGAAGGCAGGAATAGACAAACCAGCTTGCTGTAAGGCATTCCCTCCCAGAATAAGAGGTACGGTTTGGGAATTATTTTTCAGTAGAGAATTAAGGTTATTGTATTTCCTTTGGGTTTCAAGAGGAGCATCACTGGACACATACTTGGTCACCCACCATTTCCATTTCAGTCTTGAAAGCAAGCTATTATTTTGTCATCTAAATTATTTGAGAGCAATCAAAAGAAGCATTTTGAAGTATATGCGAGCCTTTTCACCCTTGGACTTCTAACAAGTCTGTTCTTCACACCAAAGCAACTCCCCAATTCAGAAGCAAAATACATAATTCAATCAAGCCCTCAAAAAAAAAAATACCCCTTGTGAAGATCTTTTCAGGATCACAGTCAAAAAGTACACCTGTCTAACAATTCTGATAATGATGTGCTCTCTAATAGATTGGTAGCAGCACAGGATGTTTCTGTGGATCGGATGAGAATTGTTCATTTTAATCATAACTAAAGGCCTTCCAACCTGCAATATGTATGGAGCATCCTTTGATTCCTTAGCAGGTGTTGCCAGTTCTACCTGTAGGCTTGCCACAATCTATCTGAACTGCCGCTAAATTTTATAAGCAGAGTTTAAACAAACAAACAAACAAAAAGAATTACCTCCTGCCTTCAGAACTAGAAGCTAAACTGGACCAAATATGTATTTGAGCAGGGTGTGCACTAAGTGCATAATTTCCCTTCTACCCATTGGTGTTTCACGGGCCTGCTGCACAGCAGAATATTGCAGTTTTATAAGACAGAAATTATTTTTACTTCTATTCCATCCAACAAGGAATACTGAGAAACACTTACTCAATGCTAAGCAAGCATCTTTCTACTTCATTTTCCAGCACAAATGAAGCTACATACGGAATCAAAGGTGCAAAAGAACACACTAAAAAAGCCCAATTAAAATGGGGTCCTGACGACAGTAACAAAGACTTCACATGACTTTTCGTGATGCTCATTCTCCTTGTGAACTGCTACCTGCTTTACCAGACAGAGGCACATCCCCCAGGGAAGTCCGAAACACAATTACCTTTGCATCCAGGTGTCTAAATCGATGCACCATCCTGCAAACAGAGAGAGGACACAGGAAAGAAGACTGAGTCCAGGTATTAGAGAAGCCTTGGCTAACCCCACTCCCCCCTTTGCAAAACTGTGCTTGGCAAAAGCCTCTCTGGAGCCAAGGGATCTAGTCCTCATTTTGGCCAAAGAGCGGAGGTAAGGCAGCTGTAGTCTGAAGCTGGCAGAAGACTGCCCTCTTGGCATCTAAGTCAGAGCATCGTTTTTATTACAAGTATATTACTCACATACGAATTACTGTTATTGTGGTGCTATTCCATTCTCCTTGTCAGGACGCTGCTTCCAGTACAGAAGCTATTTTTTGTATTTGTTTGGCTTCTTATCCAATGCTGAGTGCCTCCGGGGAGTCTTAACATTAACACTTGGTTGTGGACAGCAACGTCCACAGCAGTGGCAGAGGGGCATGGAAGAGTCTGCTCTTTCCCACCCACTAGGAGCTCTTCCCTTACCTTTCATTCAGGAAAATGCTCAGGCTAGTGTAATTTTGTAGCTAGGTCCCAGCATCGTATACAGCAGCTTACTGCTGCTGTTTTCTAACTTTCTCCATATTTCTCTTCCCTCTTATACTATTACTCTGAGAACACCGAGACAGATCCTAAAGCGTCATGATCTAGCAGCCAGAGAAAAGCAGTCCAAGTCACCCACCTCCACACACCATCATTCCAAACAGCATCTTGCCCTCCCCAGAGGTCTTTCCTACTTGCACTATTAATTACAGACCTCTGTGTATATTGATGCCATGGGAATGTTTGATACTCCAGGTCTAACACCAAATACTCCCTGCTATTTGCATGAGGAGACCTCAGAACACTACAGGAAGATAACATTTTCTCCTCTGGAGGTAAAATAGAAAGACTCAAGTACAGAAAGGTAAAATAATTTGAGAAATACTGTGAGAGACATTTGGAACGAGTGTGTTTAATACATCTCCCCAGCTATCATGTGCATAATATGCCATTATAACCCTTGAAATATTGCCATTAGCATTTTATCAGCCCAGTCAACTATTTCTGAAGAAATTCTGCAGCAGCTGACAAATAAGCCACCATTTTATTTTTAAAATAAAAAGGCACATTTATGCTGAGTTTATTTATCTACTCATTAGTTTGTAAACATTTAGAGCTGCTGAAAACTTGACTTCACTAAAAATATTCAACAGAAAGCTAACAGAACGAAGACAAAGAGGGGCAGACTTTTTCTTCCGATGAATCATTTGCTTTGGTATTGAGTTTGACAAGGTAATTTTCCTTCATGACAGCTTCCCATGCCAGAATTTCATTGTCCTCATTTTTTGAGCCTAGAAAAATGTGAAGAAAAACACCACCACTAGATTCAGTTAATTTGTCTTTCCAATGCTCATATACAAAAACGCTGGGTTGGTGCTTGCATTCAGAGGCTAAAGATTCCCTTCTCTGCATCCAGAGCATTTGCAGCCCCACTTCCCACCTGTGACACAGATCTGACAAACATGACATTAATGCATCTTACTGTATTCTCCCAGCAACATAGTCGGTTAAAAAAAAGAAAATACAAACAAAAAACCCAACCAGCTCCATAAATCTCTCTAGAATTTTTTAAGTCTTGGTTAACACGAGCCCTTTGTGAGATGGCAGTCCCTTCAACAGGCGTAGCGCATTCTAGAAAGTTCCTATCTGGGTTTAAGCTTTCCATTTGTTTCCATATTATCCCATATTAGATCGTTAGGAATAACACATGTTAAGAACCATGTCGTATGACTTATCATTGAACTGAAACATTTCAAGTTGATGAAGCATTGTCGTCTCTAAAAAGCAACTCCTATTGATGCTGTAAATTAAAGAGTGACACAAAGCAAACCACTTGGACGCATCAAAGTCCTCCAGGATAATACTTCTGCATTTTATCCTGTTCCAACAGGACAGCACAAAACATACAGGTTTTAATAAGTTAGCTTAAAAGCAGCCCACAGCTGACAAATGACTAAGTCCCATTTCTTCTGCCCAGTGCTCTTCTGACCTCACACAGCCCCAGCTGGTCTCCCAGATACCAACAGGCGCCTAAGCACCCAAACGCCAACCATTTCCGTAAGAGTGAAGTGGGGAAGCCAGGATTTTGCAATAGTCAATACGTTAGCGTGCTTTCTCTCCACGCAGTTCTCGGTTCCCATCACCAGCTCAAACAGTGATATTCTGGCTCTAACAATTCTTCCCTTTACTTTTAGAACTGCAACATCAGCTGTACATCATTTGGGCAGAAATAGCTTCTGTTAAACAACCTCCCCAGCAAGGAAACCAAACAGTGATTTGGACAGCCAGAATTATTTAGTCAGTGCTAAGGAATTTTATACCCCAAAGCAGGCATCTTTCTCCTAAACTAATAACAAATCCAGCCTGTGCTGCAGGGCAACAGTCAAGTTGCTGATGGATGGAAACAAATCTGTCAATTACTCAACTTAGCCTCTCTCAGCTGTTTCTCAATGGCACCTCAAAAAAAGAGAAAACAATCCCTTTGTTGGGGGGAAAAAATTTGTTAAAGCAATTTATGTCTGTGCTCTCTGGCAGAGTAAACAAGGGGGAAATAGCTAGAGGACTGACTCAGCCACTCCTGCAGTTGTGAGGTGGTTTGCCCATTTGGCCATGCCCAGAGGGCCAGGAGACACTCCGCATTCTCTTTCAATCCCTCACTAGCAGGCAGAAGAGCCTCTGAAGATTGGTCTCTACTAGGCTGCCCTTGGAGGCTGTAATGGAAGGACAAAGAGAAATGCAATTGCAGAAGGTATAGCGGCAAGCAGAGACCAAGACCGCATCTTGTACAAGTTACCTAGATATTTGGAACATGCAAGATCAGGGATCTCTGCCACTTGGGAGCAGTGCAGGGGGGATGCACTACCAGATGCTAATGACAAATGGGATAGTTTACACTTTCATGCAGACCATGAAGATGATTTTCAGCTGCTGCAAGCTCTGCATTAATTTATTCAGTGATCTAATACAAAAAAACCCCAAACCTTTTCAAGGCTAGGAAGCAGCACAGGCAGCCCTAAACTGATAAGATTAAGTTGAAGACTTACTTGATTTACACCCAAGGTAATTCTGCCTCAAAATGGCTTGGACAAGAAAGCACTGGACAACTGCACAGTACTCAAGTGGAGTAGGTCTCAAGGTAGAACACAAAAGCTCTCTAACCAGACCAAACCCAATGCTCAGAGTTTTATCATGAAGAGTTAGGAGCATAATTCCCCACAGCCCAGAGAGAACACACCTTGAATACTGCAGGAAGATTACAGCTGAGAAGCAGCCAGGGGCTTGGATTTGAATCTTATCAGAGAGTTTTCCAGTAACACAGTGGTTTTGCATTTGATGGAGAAACATGAACCAGCTGCTCCTCATTTCCAGCACAACCACCTCCTCAAAGGTCTACATTGCCCTTGAAAATTTCCCAAAAGACTAACTGCCTGGTTGAAGCACACCATGCCATGAAAGAGCTGCAATGCACCTGTCCCAGAGCTGACTTCTAGGCAGTAAGGAATAATCCTACTCACAACAAATAGATGGCTCTTTACTTTCCTTCTTACAGCAGCATTTGAAACATTTCCTCATCACCATGAATATGTAGGCAAAGATGACGAAAGGAAAGGGGATAGTCAAGCGATTGCAGTATTCTTGGACCAAGAAGTAACGCTGGAACTTCCACACCTGGTCATTGTTCTCTTGTACTGATCCAACAGTGTAGCTAACAGGCGAAGAAAGAAAATATAGACAGCTTTAGCTATTCAAAGACATCCATCAGAGCCAAGTAACACGGCATTTCCCTTTATTATACTAAGGCATGTTTTCATAAAGTCATCCTGGAGCTGGTAAGTTTTACTGATTAGGAGGCTGAGTTTGTCCACTTTTTAAAGAGAAATTTGAAAATGGAAAGCACTAAGTAAAAAAAAACAAAAAAAAAACAAAAAAAAAACAACAACAACAAAACACACCAAAAAACTGAAGTTGCAAATAAACTGGAAAAGATAGGAACACAGAGAAAATACTCCACATAGTTGCACTATCTTAGCTCTAGGCAATTTCCTTCCAGCCTAGACACAGCAGAACAGGATCCTTCTTTGCAAGATACTGTGTCTCATGAATTCAACAGCTAACTTCTTTCTAAGCAAAAAAAACCCCAACCCACCTAAAAATAGAACATGTACAAAAAGTGAAAAGCTCCTGAGATTTTTAGTAGAGGCATTAAGCATGCTCCAGGCATGGATCAAACCTACTGTACAAACCCAGCAAAGCAACAACCACAAGAGCAAACTGCTCACCGTCTGCCTGACCTTTCATTGCTGACATAAATGGCAGATGGATGCTTCCAAAATGCCTGTGTCAAGGTCCTAATGGACCCCTGCATGAGACAAGCTAAAACCTTCATCTGGTGGAAATTATTTATCATTTTAGAAGATAAATACAACCCTGAATTTCAGAAGTATCTAAAATGTAATATTTATCCTTTTCAGCCAATACATACTGGATGCAAAGAAAAAGTTGGATTCTCTGTTGTTAAAATTAACATGTAATTGTAATTACAACATATAAAGAGACTGTCTGGGGTCTAATAGACAGCAGGATTATCAAAGATTGACAAACACTATGTACACACTGGTCTTAGGAGGAGCCATCACAGATTCACACATTTCTAACTGCATCAAGAAAAAAAACATCTGGGATTGCTGTTTGCCCACTGGGCTTTCGGAGTTCAGTACAATCCAGTGCTCCTGCTTGATTAAGTTGTTCAGTCTATTGTTAAAGTGAACTATGCAAAGCTCTGAGAGTGTCATTAGAGAATTCATGCTGGGTCCTTCCACAAAATAAGCTGAACTGGCAAAAACTAGGTTTTTACTGGCATAACTGTATAAACCAGAACTTTTACTATGAGATGCTGTTCAAGTAAGTGTTTCAACAAATATCAAAGGCTTCTGGGGTAGAGCTGGCTTACTGCTACAGTTTCCTTTATTAATGTGAATTGCTTTCAGCCTTTCTAGGGAATCTAAGCATTGTCTTCTGTCCCCAGGTCCCGTGCAGGTCAGGAAAACACATGTACAATAAATAGATACGCTGCACCAGTCCTAGCTGCCTTGCCAAAAATCACATTTCTGACTGTCTTTGGGGTCCAGGTCAGCATGGGAAGAAAGGTTCAGAGCAGAAGGGAGAGCAGATCCCAGAGCCAAGGCATTCTCAACTCATCACACTAATATATCTCAGGTCAGGAAAAATTGGCACTATCCTTCAGATGGGAGATCCTCTTGAGGCAAACCAAGAGTCCTTAGGAGTTCCTGCAAACACTCTCGTTGCCAAAGTAAATTCCTGCCAAGCCAGTCACTGCCAAGGTACCATCAGAACACACAAAAATAAACATAGCAGACCTCAAGAATGATGCCCAGGGGTTGTAAGTATTGTTGTTATGCTGCAAGGGAAGGTAAAGCAGAAAATCAGCGAGGCTGGGAAGGGGAACAGAGCCACAGCACTGATCCAACTGCATTCACAACCCACAAGTGAGGCAGGAGGGCAACACGCTCCTGATATGAAGGACTTGGCATTATTACTCAACTCTGCGTCAGAGCTTGCAGTGTAAACAAAGACTTCCAGAAAAAGCTGAGGAAACTTTTCCCTGCTCTTGTTGGCCCAATGCAGTCAATATATGTTTGATAATGTGCACAACGGCACAATTTGGCAATTCAGTCCTGGGTATGTGTCGGGTCAGCAGGTACCAGCACCATATTTCAGGTGTGATCCATCTGCTTGGTGTAACACCTCACAAGATAGCAGAACAGGCCTCCTAACTGGCAGGCCCACAGACAGCTAAACTACCAAGTAAAAAGAGAGGCAATGGCATTTCTCAAGACAAAGTCCTTTTGTATGTCCCTAGGAGATGCAGCCCATTGCCTCTGGTATAACTCAGAACAATAAACAGCAGATCCACTAGAGCAGTAACACACCATCATCACCACACAGTAGTTCTGCTTAATAAAACCATAGTGTCATAAACAGATTGCAATAACAACATCTCGTTTATTCAGCCCAGCAAGGGCAATAGTGCAGCAGCTCACACCTGGTAAAGCACTGCTATAACCCTGTGTGAAGCACCGGGGTTTGTACTAAGCCCACTGTGTGAAGGATGCCTTGAGAAGTAGTAAAAGGACAGGCAGCAGTTCATGCCCAGGACATTGTACCAGTTTTGATCAGACTGCTGTGAGAAACACGGAATAACCTCGCCTTTGTTCACCGTCCCACACCATCCTTCACTCGTGAGGTCTCTTTCAAGCTGAGAACCCTGTTCAGACTATTCCCAGCAATTCCTCTGCAAGAGACACAGGAAGAGTACAAGGTCTGGCTTCCTGCCATTTCCCAGGACTTCATTCCCTTTCTCAAAGGGATACTGATACAGAGAGCACAAGCAAATGATCACTCGCTTGTTACGTACCCAAACATGGCCACAAGCAGGTTCACGAGGAGGATGTTTGTTGAGAGCATGTAAATGCAGACAAGAGGAATGGTAATCCACTCCGGGAAGCGGGGCTGGTTGTTGGCATCCAGCTCCACGCACAAGGGCTTGGACTCATTCCCAGAAAAGGTGCAGCGATCAAAGTTGTAGGTGGTACCTCAGAGGGGGAGAGGGGAGAGCAAACAGTGAGCCCTTTCCCCCTCTTGCTGCCGGGTCCAGCCCCAGGTACCGCCACTGACCACAACACGTGTGGTCTCCTCCTTCCCCACCTCCCCATCAGACACAAAACCTTGCCTTCTGGCTGCTTGGAGGAAAGGGGTCAACACAGGAGTGGGCAAACACTGAAAGGACAGAGCCTTCCGTACACCCAGAAGACATTCCCGCAGAGGATAGCTACCGTCAACATCATCAGGGTACTGGCCGAACATAGCCAGGTACGGCTCGTAGATGACGGATCGAAATATCCACTCCCAGCGGTGCTCGTTCTTCCTCAGGATGCCTTGTCTGGCCACACCAAAGGCCACCATCCACACAGCAAAGAGGAAGAGGAAGAAGAAGACATCTATCATCTGAAAAAGGACAACAGACAAACGCATCAGCACCCCGCCGCACGTCTGCTGCAAAACACACACAGCTTTTTTTTCCTCCCTGATTTGATATTAGTGTGAAGAACAAATATTAGAAAAGCCTACACAAGTTAGCACCATTTGAATTCAAGTTTCCACATCACTGCTTTGTAAATTTATAGTCACCAACACACACACACACACACAAATAATTGATCATTCCCATTCCGGGAGCTTCAAAAATATTTACACAACCCTAAAAATAAGGCACATTTCAGGATATAGGATATCCTCTGGCATCTGACAGTTCCACCCACAAAAGGCAGATCCACAGATAAAGATTATCTATGCAACAACAACTGTAGCTGCAGACCCTGCAGCTGAGTGTCAGGTGGAAGCAGCCACCACTTCCGAAAATGCCACTCTGGATGGCTTCAAACCAATGTTTATAGTCCAGACACTGGCCAACACTTTTGTGATCTGCCCTTCCACTAGCCCCAAGAGTCACTATTATTAGACTTACTCAAAAACTCATCCCCTTTGCAGAAAGCCAAACAAGAGAATGATGTACAAGAAACAATCCTGTCATTGCTTCCACCTCATAAGGCACTCTAAGGCCAGGGAATCCCTAGACTTCAGCTTTGCAGCAGTGGTACAAGGCCAAATAAAGGCTTTCTGGGTAAGCTGCAGCCTACGCTATTACTGCCATTGCCACCACATAACTGGTTTTAAAATTCCATACATGACAATCCTTTGCTGTGGCACAGAGACAACCCAACCACTGCAGAAATGCAGAAAAACAGGGAAAACCTTCTCCTAAAGACTTTTAACAACACTCACTTCCCGTGCCCTTCGAGTGCCATTCCCCAAATGCTCCCCATGTTGGGTACACTTCAGATGTCTTTTCTTTGGAGTATGTGTGTGTGCGTGCAGAGATATCCCTGGAGGGAAGATCAGCTCCCAGTGACATACACAGATTCAGGCAGACCTACTCCAGCTCTCCAATGATCCTCGCTCCCACACCTACAGCAAGCCACATCAGTGAGATAGAGAACTCTGCTCTCTTCCTAGTACCTTTCCCAGTCTGCTGTGAAACATCCCCTCCAGCTACAAAGCACAGAATCAGCCAGAGCACTCCATGAGAGGCTCCTCGCCACCCGCTTCTCCAGCTACTGGTGTGATGGATGCTGCGGAAGGCAAAAATCCTCCTCCTATGCCATTTATCATCACTGTCTTGTTTGGGGAATGCTCATGTGAGCAACAAGAGTGATGGAATATGCCACTGAAACATTTGAGACATGCAAGACAAAAGCTGCCAGGAAACAAATTTCCTCTTCTGTTCTTCAGCTTGATCTTTATTCTCTCCCTGTGCAAAGGGAGAGAAAAAGGCCCTGCTCTTAATTAGGTCCTATTTAAATCTTAATTAATCCCATTTAGCAGATTTAAGAGAAGGAGAGAACTTGCTGTCATCATCAGAACAGTGGTGATTTCCACTCTTGAGGAAAAAGGATGTGCCACATAATTTATTTAGACTCTCTTGAATAGCTGCCAGAATCTTACCATCCTTTGCAGCATAATAATTTTGGGTCCTAGATTCCTGCTAACTGTGAAAATATGGATCAGCCTCAGAGTAAAAACGATGTAGTCCAAACAGAAGATGACTCTCCCAGAATACCAAGAGCTTTCATCAGATGAGTGAAGCCTAATGGAGACAGTAAAAGAAGATTAAGAGAAAAGCGTTGGGTAAAGCATGCAGAAGCCAGGTAAAGATACACTGAAACACTGAAATGGGGAGAGTAGAAAACGGAGCACAGCTATCCAGGGCCCCATGCACTCTCCCACCTGATGACGGGTGGTAGAACTGGTTAACACACCTCCTACCTCAGCTACATCATCGCTGTGCCTCCTCTTCCCCTCTACAACTACTACCAGCAAAGAAATCTTGTACCTTCTAGCTGCTCCCACAGCTCTCCAAAAACATCACAGTGCAATGACTGCTCTGCTGCGCGGGGGCAACAAGAACTAAGTTACAGCTGAACAGTTGCGCCGTAAAACGCGTTTCCATAATTTCTTTGTCACGGTTGTTAATTCACCCGTTCATGTAAAACAGCTTATGTGAGCTAATGACATTCTGTCGGACTATTGTAGGTACAGTTACAGCCCCTTAAATACAACACACTAGAGCACAAAGACTCCAGATTACCACACTAAATAGTCAATAACAGGAGTCAGGAAAATCACAAAGAGCTTCTGACTCTGAGCTATGAGCCAGCTTACCCTGCGGCTGTGTCTGATGTGCTCTGCATAGCCAGGCTTGAAGGCACTGTCATGAACCTAAGCCTACTTCAGTCATCCTCTTCTAAAAATGCTCATCCAAAGCTAAGCTTTAAGACAGGCTGTCCTGCTGGCCTAGAAAGATCCAAGTTTAGAAAAGGCACCTTTGATTCCAGGGATAGACTCAACTTCCAGTAAACAAAAATAAAATACTGTGCGCAGGTGTTCCCCTGATCACTTTATTTTATTTAGAATCGTAGAATCATGGAATCATTAAGGTTGGAAAAGACCTCAAGGATCATCACGTGCTTTTAAAGATTTAGAGTAAAGACTTACCAGTATCTGGGGCCTTCACAAAGAACAGGGAGCTTCATGAACACATCATTTCCCGAAGTCTAGTTACAGGATGTAGTCAAACCCAAGAAAGGAAGCAAAGCCATAACACAGCCACAAGAAAAGATACTACTCACCTGAGCGCAATCCCCGCTATGAAGTAGAAGATTGCTAGCGTATCCATAACATTCCACGGATCTGAGAAATACTTACTGCCGTTCATGTACCACTGGAAAGGAAAAAGAGCAGAAAGGAACCATCTCACAGCCCTGGCCAGCGACACAGAAAGCTCGCCCCTCCTCCCCCCAGCTATCCCCACTGAATGTCCTCACGGGTGAATACTGCACCCACTGCAATGGCAAGGATTGCTTCCTTGCCCAGTTAACTTTTTGTCACATATAATAAGTACACTAGAGTTCAGATTGCTTTTAATTTCCCCAAAAACAGGGTTTTAAATATATCCAGCAACACTAGACATTACTGGCAACATGTTCTTACTGCTAACTTCTAATAAGACCGTGGGTGAAGATTTTCTTTGTTTAGAGCTTCTTTTTCTATTTTTTCTTTTTTTCTTTTCTCCTTTTTTTTCCTTTTTTCTTTTTTTTTTTCATTTTCTGCTGCAGTTCAGATGTCCCAAGCTAATGCTTTTTGCACTGGGACCAGTAAAGCACACTGGTGCCACAACCATCGCACCACAGTGTGCATGACTGTGCTCAAAGGACACGCTGCAACCACAGGGGTGCTTGGGCATGGGGACAGGAAGGAACACTCCTGACAAGAGCCAAGTGCTTACTGCTCACTGGGTATGCACATGCTGCCAGGGGACCTTGGGGTAGATGCTGCCAAACGGGTCAAAGGAGTCTCGGTTTGGCTTAATAAGAGCAGATGAAACACTGGAGGGAGGCAGAAGGGTCACTGTTCTGGGGTAGTTGAAGTATTCTGGCTTCTCTTTTTTCAGAGCTAAGTCAGTAATCTCTCCCTGGCTACACATGCGTGGTTTTGATCAAAGATGAGAGTTAATTTATTGTTTTAATTAGTTGCCTCTATTTCTGAATTGCAAGTCTAGAGAGAAGCTGCCCTTTCCCAGGCTGAGCGACTGCTGGCACACCCTGGATCCAAAGTCTGTGCAAGAACCGACCTCTGAACCCAAGTCGAGGTGACTCATTACGACAAGCAGCTTTACCAGGAGAAACCTCCACCTGCCTGAAGAAGCAGACTGAGTCTCTGATCGTAATTCTTTTCTGTTTTCTAACCACAGCTCAGTGGAGTACTGATCAGTGACCCTCTCTATAGCTAACACACCCAAGGAAGGCACTTCTGCTTTCAGTACTTTTAAGAGAAACAGAGATTGAGAGGAATTTTCTTCTAAATGCAGAGGGAGCTGTAAGTAGAGTGCCCCACTTTGCCAGTCTAGTTGCACAACTGTTGCATTTTCTTCATATGATGATTTACATCGCTAAAGATGGACAAGACGAGCAGATGTCAGGCTCAAGATATTACAGACACTGTTTTCAGCATCTTGGGGACCCATAGACAACTTTCTTAAATACTTCAGGTAGAAAAGGTTGAGCGCTGAGGGGGAACAGCATATCTGACATCGCTGACATGGGGCTGTTTCTCTTTAGTAACTCCCTAAATCAAACACAAGCTGTTTTGCTCAGTGGCAGTGAAGTGGTGTTTGATGTGAACAGCTAGCTGCAGAGCGGCCAAACGCCTTGCACAAAGCACCGCACTACAGCTGCATTAAATGCAGCAGGTTTAAGCCTGACACCTCTTCCCTTAAGAGCACAATTGTGGATGGAGGAAAGGCAACAGGTTTTGCTCTAAACCAGAAACAAGACAAAACAGAAGCAAAAAGAGAAATAAGAACACCTGAGATCGCAGGGCAGCACGGGCAGCACAGTCCTTCAAATACCAAGCAGTTCTCACTGCTAAGAGTTACCATGCACGGAGGTTCTCTCCAGATTCCTTCTCTGTTTGAGAAAACAGGGCTTTCCTGTGCAACCCACAAGCCTACCCACTCACCTGGCTGGAGGCTACATCCATGTGGCTAAGAAGATAACAGGAAAAAGGCATCTTTGATTTTGCTATTGCCACGTCAGCTCTAAATGGGACACCAGAAAGTAGCTCCAGCTAGTTAAAAATCTCTAGGAGCATCAGATGTGAAAGCAGGCTTGAGCCAGCAGCTTGCGGCTCAGATACAGTGCCGTTCTCCTGGGCGGTGAAACAATCTGCTTTAAATTTGGAACAATTTCTAGTAGCTACCACCTCTACAGACACACCAGTCTCTAACTGGAGAGCTGATTTCTCCCCAAAACTAGCAATCAGACTGCAGCAGCTACAGTGGGACCACAGGGAATGTTACTCTTACTTTTCCTTTGATGTGGATACAAAATCTGAGACATACCTCTTTGTTCTAAATATTAAGGACACAGATGCAATTTTGACTGCAGAGTTAGACTGATGCACACCCAATCTAACTTGGAGGAGGCCAGGGAGAAAGTTTCCGGAGAAGCTTACAGGACTGGGACACTGCTCTGCATTTTGCTCCTTAGCAAAATAGGTCTGAAGGCAGGACACTGACTTAAGAGAACTTTCAATCTTCAATAAAGTCTGCTTTAGCTGCCTTCACGCCCACAATCAAACTGGTGCAGTCTGGCCACTAGCTCTTAATGGGATTACTGGGAGCTGATGTTTTTCTGCCTGCTCAGGGTAGTGAGACATAGTGACACTGGTAGGAAAAAAGGTTTCTATCCTTAAGGCTTTCCCCAGGGATTTTGCTGGGGACACACAGGAAGTGCAAGGACAGGTCCAGAGACATCAGAACCTAAATCATCAGAAAAACACTCAATTAGTGTTTTCATTGCAACAGTCTTTTACTTTTCCCCCATTTGCCTTAGCAAGTAAAGTTGCCTTAAGCAGGGTACAACCTTGATGATTAAAAAGGAAAAAGACCACCCAGCAAGCGAAGCACAGTAACATCAATGCTCAGCAATGCCATTCGAGCTCGTGTAGGAAATGTTGCTGCAGGGTGGTCTGACCCAGCAGATCACCCACAGACACTCATTGGGGGGGTAATGCCTGAGAGGACAATCAGAAAGCAGCGCTGCCCTGAAACCACACACCCATTTCCCCTACATCTTCCCACTGCCCTGAACACTGACCGGTAGAGAGCAGTTTGCCTGAAAACCACCATATTTCAGGTGTCCCCTTACATATGAAGTGAGAAGAACACCAACTAAGCAGCTGGGTATACAGGCAGCCCCACACACTGTTCCCACACCAGACCAGCAATGCAGGCAGCCCAAAGCTGGCCCTGGGGACTACGTGAAACTAGCAAAAATTGTATTTATGATTAAAAGATAAACAGAAATACACAATGACAGATCAAAAAGGAAAAAAAAAAAGGTGGGGGGATGTGGAGAAGAGAGGCAAGAATCGCTTGATCTAGAAGTATGCACCCAGATACATGTACTAAATCTAACCTCCTATTCCCAACCGCTTTGGCAATCCAAGCCCAGCATTCCTGAGAAATATCTCCACTGGCATCAGTTTATCCACACAGCTTCAAAGTCAATACACACTCCTCTTGGTGCATGGACACCGCAGCCATTGGGGCATAAGTAGGAATTAAACACCAGGGGAAAAATATTCATTGTGCCTTGAGTTGCCTGAACATATCTCCCAGGAAGTGGTTCCCCTGTAACTTTGAAGCACCCTACACTGCCTTACTAGGAGGGGAAAACCCACAAGGCTTTTAATCTAGCATTAAACATTTTTGGTTTGCAAGCGCTGCCTACTTGTCTCACTTCATCACAAAGGAGAATGAAGACCAGGACGTAAAGGATCATCTCCAGGACTGTAGGTTCCTTCTGGAAATCCATAAGCAACACGTAGGCGAAGAGCAACAGAAAAGCGATGTAGAAGATGACATTCCAGGAGAAGACCACAAATGGAGAGGTGAAGAAAGACACATAATACAAGAAGAGTTTCTTACTCTTCTCCACGGGCTTTTTCCTGAGGAATTAAAAGAGGGAAAAGGTCTCAAAGCATAGTTTTTATGCCTGGAAACATTTGTGCTCTTGATCAAAGTGAAAATGAGAAAGGTGCAAAGCCTAGCACAGGACATTAAAGGTAATGCCATTCTGCATCCACTTACTAGGTATGCAAATAAACTGGCATATCAACTCCAGATCAGAGTGAGGACACAACCTTCAAAAGTTTATTCAGCGATTATGCCTTTATTTGAGAGTGATTGAACACTCGCACAGGTTCCCCAGAGTGGCTGTGGAGTCTCCAACCTTGGAGATACTCAAAACCCAACTGAGTACAGTCCTGGGCAACCTGCTCCAGCTCACCCTGCTCTGAGCAGAGGGTTGGAGTGGATGATCAACATCCCTTCCAGCCTGAATTGCCCTATGATTCTGTGATTAATTGACTTGCTTTGCCTCTGCTAATAAGAAGCCAGTTGATTACCTGAATGAGATGAAACCACAGCCGATCAAAGGGAAAAAGAGCAGACACAGTATAATCTTCCAGTTCTTAGTGTCTCTTGAAATCTCACCATACCACTGCTTGGAAAGGAAATTCTGCAGGGAAGAAGAAAATATCCTCATCTGTTCTAGCAGCAACAAAATCAGCCAGCTTCTCTTTCAAGAAAAGGAGCCACACACCGTGTTCCCCCCACCAGCCCCAGTCAGTGCTCCCTGGATTGCACTTCACAGCACTGCAAACACTGGTCCTGGGAGTGTACTGCAGGACATAGCTTTGCTGCGGCTGTGCAAAGCTCAGTTGGTGCTCGCAGGGCTGGGAAACATTGCCTGGAGGCTCTCACTTCTACCAAGACAGTGTCTGAGCATTTGCCTTTCACAGACTGTTCAATGCGGACATAGCATTTTCACATAAAGAATGTTCACTTTTTTTTAAGCCACCCAGATGACAGGAGTTACAGCAATCTGTGCACCTGATTTCCAGTGACATTACCTGCACCCCTGGCTGTGCAATGAACTGCTGGTCCTTAGCTTCCACTGCTAGTTCCAGACAATTGCTCCCTCCCCAGGCTTCGCAGGAATAGGTCAGCAGCTGCTCAGCGAGATCTTCATCATTGCTGTAGCACTCGGTGAACAGCTCTGGAGGAAAAAGGCAGTCCCACACTGAGCTCCAACTTCAGACTCAAACTTCCCACCAACTTGGATGCAATTGTCTTCAGTGACTTCCAAAGTGTAATATTTGTAATATTAAAGCATGTAGATACAAGAACTCTGTCTGCGCTGTCAGCATGGTAAAGCAAGGGGTGCATTGCTTTACCACCCCAGCTTTCATGCAGAATTTATGCCTGGATGGAAAACTGCAGTACTAAATCAGCTCATACAGAGATAGCATTGAGTTCTGCAATAACACATGTAGGAAAAAGATTAACTACTCCTACTCAAATGACTCAGTACATTTGCTTGTTTCATCTTCTTTTCATTCATTTAACACTGATCTAATGACACACAGTCGGTCTCAGCAGTCCCATGTTAACAGCAGCGTTAAACAACCAGGGCAGAATCTGATGCTTTTTCACGGGGAAACGCATTGCAAACATGCTCGTAGCTCTTCTAAAACAAGTATCTTATTCTGCCCACAGATTTTTGCCACTTACAACGTGCTTAGAGTGAAAAATTATTTCTCTTTCCAGCTCTGGGTGTTTGGCACCTGAAGGCAGTTCTGTTTGTGCATCTGACAAAGCACAACTGCCCTGAAGAGCAATTCAGCCTCTTATACAACATGCCAGCATTCACTAGCATCTCCTTTCTCCAATGGCACATTTTCCCAGGCTTTTCCCAAACAGCTGTGCCACCACGACAGCAAGGATGCACACACACTGATACTTTCAGCTGGTGTTACCACGTACACTGCAATATGCAGACAGATCTCGACAGACAGACTTCGGTGGGACCTGCTCACTTCTCCATCAGTCCTGAAGGATACAAAAACCTTTAGGAAAGTCTGTTTAAGCAGCTTTCATCTCAGGAAGTAGGAGACACTTTCTGATAATGAGCAAGTTATTTTCAGCGTTGCCCCGTGGCACTCCTTAGTGGAGCACGCAATAGCTTCGCAGTCCTTCTGATAGACACACAAATTAAAACAAAGCTAGCCTAGCTGCTGTGAGCCCCAAAAAAGGAGCAAACAATCTGCTTTCAGGAGCACTGCAGTTACAGATCCACTGTTTTCTGCACTAGGCGAGAGAACAAGGCCATAACCTGTCATAAAGCCCAAGAGGCAATGCTGTGTTGTATCTCCCTCCCAGTTTAGGAGCCAAGGTCCTGCTCCACAGGGCGCATCACAGATAATCTTCAATTTGTAAGTTGTGGGTGCTGCAAATGAATCCCTGTCCTGACATCTGCCAGCTGTGCTGGCTTTCATTAGCATGCTTCTCTGAATAATCTGCAGGATAACTAGACACTGAGGAACCATCAGCATTATTGCTCCAGAAAATTGAAGTTCTAAAAAAAAAAAATCATCCCCCTGCTCTCCTGGCACCAGTTGCCCTCATGAAATAAGAAACTATTGGTCACTGCAGCCCATGAGATGCAGGGCTCAATTCTGAATTACTGACAGTCCTTGCAGTAGCATAAACTGAAGATCATATAAAGGAAGAAAAAAAACCTAATTCTCAATGAGAGATCTTGACAACTTAGAATAAGGAAGTTATGTGATTCTGCAGTTCAGAATTTAGGAATTCAATCTACTTTTTACCTTTTGCAGTTCATGCTCAGTCCCCAAAAGTACTGCACATTTGAAGGATGTCTCTTCTCAACCTGAATGTTACCAGCACTCATGCTGAAAGCTTCTTTTATTTCTCCAGTCTCCTTGCTATTTCTGGGCACTCTTTTTCAGCCTTGTCATTAGAGTTAGGTACCTTTTCTTCCCAATGAAACAAATTCTCTACCAACCCTCCATCCCTACACCCACTTTTGGAGGCAAACTGTTCAGACAGGACACAGTTTCTACTAGGAACAGATGGTATGGAAGAGATTTCCAAGCAGTAAAACCACATTTTTACATTAAAGGGAAGCATTTAATGTTGGATATCTAGTTTTCTAAATGAAGCTTTCTTTCTACTTCCTTTTGAGATGTCATTTCTCTTCTTTATAAATCAGACTGAATTTCCAGGCAGCATTTCAGGCAAATCGAATGAATTATCTTGCCTTGCATTGTGCTGAACAAAACCAGCAGGGTTACCAGTTTGGTTTTCTGTACAAAATAAAAACATCTCTATGCAATCATTGCTACACATCAGACCTGGAGACCATTAAAAGAAGTCATGTGCCAAAAAAGAAAACAATTTCCTGACCTCTTCTATTAAATTTCTAGAGGACTGGAAGAAAGCACTTACCTACTGCTCTTGTTTCATACTCATTAGCGAGCTCCTCAGACTCACCAGCAGCATTTATATCATTCTTCACCTTTGCCATGCTTTTCAGCAGCTTACTGGCCCCAAGCGCTGCCAAAGTGCAGCCTCTGGTCTACGGAGAAAGAGTTAAGTCATGCAAAGCCTTCTGTGAAAAGAATGCGATAAACTCTTTAAAAGTTATCCCCCTTTTTTGCAGCTGCTCAGTTCCCAGTCAAGACTTACAAATGAAGACCCAGTTCCACAAAATGAATGGTAACCATCAGCGTACTGGTGTGGTAACAATTTTGTGACCAGTCTGAGAAGGTCTCGTGTTTGATAGTTATATATCAGCTTTGCATCTCTGGCTGAGGGTTCACGAAAGAGCGACTGCTCTGCCATGAGCTACACTACCATCTTCACTGTCCACCATCCTGAACCAGTTGGGTGTACACCAAACTGCCCGGACTATGTTAGTCTGTTCCCTTCAAAACATCTGCACGTGCAGGGAAGCAGCACTCTGCTTTGGACACAAAGACCAAGGTGAGCAGCAACATCCATTAGCTTTGCTTGCACTTGCCTCACACTTACAGCCTGTGGATGACGTACTGGATAGTTATCACTCAATGCACTGCCTAACCAACATTAGAAACGGATTTTAATCAAACACCTTGGATCAGAACACATCTACATTGTGGAATGGGTGGGAACTCAGCATCCAAGTTTGAACACAGTTGAGAACACACAACTATAGGTAAATGCTAGCTGGGCTGCTGACTCACACAACATTAGGAAAGTATAAAACCCACCCCCAAACACAAAAGGGGTAATATTAAACGCAGTTACAGAGCCATCTAGCAATTCCCTCTTGTGGTTGTGTGTATGAGGATTAGAGCCTTCCAAGGCCTACAAACCAAAGAAAAGGAACACCACCGTGCTGTTTGCAAAGAGGAGTAAAGGACAATTCAACTTACTTGCTCCCAAATGACTTTAGACAACTCTTTCTTGTTCTGAAGAACTGACCAAATAAACAGAGCTTGCAACGGATGCCTTGTGATAGGACACTCATCCTGGAAGGAAGAGCAACAACTCCTGAGACCTAAGCTCACCAAACTGTATTCAACTGGAAGAAATCCTAGCCTGCCACTCTTGCTTTCATATCTTCTTCCTTTTACAGCCAGCCCACTGATCCTCTCTCTCGGCTATCTGTCACTTACCACACACTAACTTTAGTTTATATTTATATGAAAGCCTTATATTTTCCTGTTGGTGTGGAAGAAGCAGCCTCCCTGCTTTTCCTAAAGTGGCCATTAAAGGACATTTTAGGTCAAAGTCACTTTCTGCTTTAACCCTTCCAGTTCAGACAGCCTCACTCACAGCTTGACATCCTCCAAAAGGAACAATGACTTTACACTGATATACCTTTTGTGTTTAAGCAAGACTCTGAACTTCACAAAAACTTAAACAGAGAGGAATTTCTATACCACTATCTTCTTTGCATTAGAGCAGTTAGCACCTGGGGATGGCAAAACCATCACAAAAGGACTCCTGAGTAACAAAACTTTTAAGAGCCACAAGCTTTAATGAAAACTCTCAAAGCTAACCAGCATTTTTAAATCAAGCTTCCCCTGAATGTCACATGTGTTGCATTGCATCTCTGAAGTCAAAAACTGACTTCAAAAGTTTCCTATCTGATGCCTGAGCTACAGTTTTAAAACTCACATCAGGATCTGATGTTTGGACCTACTGTGATGTGGTAACTAAGAAGTCTGGTGCTGCCTGCCAACGAAATAAAGTCCAGAAGGTGCTTGACACCCTTACAGAAAGTAAGGTTTAAGATACAAGAGTCTGTACCAAAATATAAGAGCCCAGATTCCTCACGCCCAGTTAGCACTTCTGTACCAGACTCTGAATTTATATTGGTATAAAATCCAAGCATAACTAGAGGAGTGGTTGCTCTAATAGAAAATATTTTAACTCAACACCAAAATACACTCATCTATTTTCCTTGCAGTTAAATGACCCTTACATGCATTTGTAAAATGGGGCAGTACATTAAATGTAAAACATGGCTCAGACTATTAAAGCAAATCCTGCTATACCGGAAACAATTTTTTTGTTTCATCCTTCCAGTGGATGCATAGTGGAATCAAACTGTTCATCACTTACTGAAAGATGTATCGCCATCTCATCCTTGCTATTTTTGTCATCTCTTTTGAGACCTCTTCGGAAGTCCTCAACCATCTTCCACACAAATGTGAGGGGCGCATCATTATAGGAATTCTTGGCGATCTGCAGGTTCTTGAACACCAGGCTGCTGAAGTAGTTGGTGTACAACTCTCTAAGGACCTCTGTGGTAAGGAACTTCCTCATATTCAAGCCGTTTTCCAGGAAGAGACGGACAAATTTGGGCCTGTCTTTCACTAGGGCTGTGAACATGACATCCTGCAGGTCAGCAGACTAGGAAGAAACAGAAAAGCAAATATTAAGGAGCGTGTGAGACACCAAGCTTATCTAAGGGCCTGACACACACAGCTAATTGCCACTTTGTCATCAGAATCAATTTTTTTCTGTATACGATTGTCTTTGCTGGATGGCCTAGAGTCCTTCTGGCATGGGCAGATAACCTTTGCAATCAGTGGTGTCAGTGCGTGGAGGAATAGACACTCTTACTTATCATCACAGAGGCTGGGGTGCTGAGACAGGGGCTGCTGTGACAACGTCTCCCTTCCCACTGTTCCCCTGTCGTTGTACTCAGACAGAAGTGGTCCGTACCTCCCAGTTTCGGTCATTGGTGAAGATCTCATCACTGGCCAGGTCCAATTGGTTCCACTCCAGCAGCAGCTTCAGCTGCCCGTTCCAGTTATCTCTGTCATGTTCATTGGTGCTGAAAGCTGCAGAGGAAGAACAGTCTTCTAGGTAAAAGACCAGAGACAAAAGATCTTCTTGGCATGCTTATTCACCTCTGCTTTTCACACTCTACCTGACAAGACCACTATCATGTGTCTTTCCCCCAACTCACATGCATCTTTCTGATTGGGTTTTAGAGGATGCTGGAGGCTTAGAGACATATTTATGGCCCAACATAGGAGCTGTTAGGAGCACCTCATCAATCCAAATCAGCACATTTCCTTCAGGCTCCTCAGTGTCCTATTAATCTATTAAATCTATTTAAAAAAATAATCTATGAAAAAAAGAGAACAGAAAAACAATCACTTGCCTTTGTACAGAGCAAAAGAAATGGCATTGCTCACAATTTCATCTCCAGCTTCTTCTATTTTGATAACTGTCAGTAAATGAGGGTTCTCAAGGACTTCTTTGATCTACAAAAAGAAGAAGTTCCATCTCAAAGCAATCTAGGCTGTTCATTAGTTGATCTCCTACAGCATCTTTAAAAGAAATTTCCCATCACATCGTAGCAAAGCTGCTTCTCATCAGCCCCATTTCCATGTACAGTTAAAATTTAATCAAGTCCAGACAGAAGTAGATTATGAGATTTATTTTCAAGTCAAAGTAAAAGATGAATTATCCTCTGAACATATAGCAAATAACTGTGATTCCCTCTCTGCAGAACATCATCACCAAAAAGATATAATCTCAGTAATTAGAAACTACTCGTAAAGACAAAACTGACTGTGACAGCACAAGTTTCAACAAACGTCTAGCAGTTTATTAGAGAACACTGTTTCCACCTCCTTCTGCTTTGTCAAAAACAGAGATCATTTCTCACATAACCAAGCCTTATAAAGTTACTCCTACCACATAAGGAACAAATAATCGTAGCCAGTCTTGACTGAAGGACAAGGCGCACACCAAGGCAGCTCAGCTCAGCTGTGAAGAACGTGGCCAGGTGACTGAACAGGGAAAAGTGCCTTCAGCAGCAGCCCGCTCTCCAGTGTGGAGCTCCTTCTGGAAACCAGAGGCTCATGGTCTGCTCAGAGGGCAGTTCTTCCTCTTCACGTTTGGATGCCGCAGTCCCCAAGCTCAAAGTCCGAGTTCAAACCTGGTTTCTGCAGGACTGCCTCTGCAAAAGGCCATGCCTTATTCCTGCGAGCTTCTTAATACAGAAGCAAAGAGTTGTTGAGATCGTAAGCTCTGCAGATGCCGCTGCTCAAAACAGGGTCCAGTGGAGCAGGTTGTGCCCAGCGGAACTTGTAGGTTGCCCCATGGACCCACTCTGCCAAGCTCTGACCAAGAGCTCAGACTCAGGCTTTACCAGTAACAATAGCTCCTTCAACACCAGCAGCTTCGTTTGGTTCATATCAAAGAAAACACACACAGAAGCTTGAGTGTTTGGGCCTGCAAACAACTTGCAATGGTGCACTCACTAAAAAAGAAGCTGGGGGGGTGCGCACAGAGAGCTGAGAGAAGGGGCCTGCAGTGTACAAGAAGCAATATAACATTTTCCATCCCCCATTATGAACTTGGAGGTTTGAATACACAATCACTCCCCACTGTGAAGGTGGGTAGGAGGTGACTAACCAAGTGAGGAAAAGAGAATCAGATCCCAGGATAAAGCACTGGGCAGTTAATTGAGAAAGCCAATTAGCTCAAGTTAATGGATTGTTCAGTGAGCTGAAGTGTTGTTGGAACTAAGACTTCTAAAAAATAACAGAACATGAAGATTTTTCTGGAGCTCCATTTTCTTCTGTCTTTATTGAGAACAAAAGCATAGCTAAAAAATAGATCCATCTGAAGGTCAGTCACTGGAGAGGTACAAGAGTTTCCTGAGACTGGCCCATGCAAATAGCAGATGCTCTCCTTACTTCTCCAGTTTCCCCAGCCTCCAAAAACCACTCTTGTAATAAACAGTTACCTATGAGATCACAACAGTGACTATATCTTGAAGGCTCTAGCTCTGGTCAACAAGGCAAAGAACAGCAAAAGGAGAATTTGCTGGTGTATGTGCATTGTTGTACCTTCAGCTGCACCCTATGCCCACAGTACCAGTAAGTCCACGCGAACAGTCGCAGTGGAGATGGTGCAGGGATGCTGCTGTGGCAAAATACTGACCAAACCCCTAGTCCTAAACATTCCACTCCTAGTCTCAAGTGACTGTTCTGCCAAATACTTAAGCGATGCAGGGAGAAAGACAAGAACTTTTGGAACAAATGAGAGAATCCTGAAGTAGAACACTATGATTTGAAAATCCATGCGGTAGCAGCGATAACCATTTGTCTCTGCGCACCTCAGCAGGATTTAGCATTGTGAGGCCCAATTCAGCAAGTATCCAGTTTCTCCACCTTCACAAAGCACGCAGAGAAACTGCAACACCAACCAGCACATCAACCAAGAGACACATCCAGCAGCCAGTGCTCCAGAGGAACCACAAAAGCATCCAGGGAGCAGACAGTTAGAAAACATCTGGCCTTAGCTCTCCTGTGCCTAGACATGTGCTACTTTTCCAAAAGATAGCAATCTCCCACTCCTTTTGTTCCAATCCCTGTAAGAGTTCAGAATATTTATTTTTTAAACCCTCACGGACATGTCCCTGTACATCCTAAAGGTCTCACCAGAGAGCAACATCCCTGATTTGGAAGTCACTAGCTGTTCCTGACCCCCTGTATCCTCTGCCCTTCTCCCACTCTCAGCCTTGCTAGCTCCCTGCAGTAGCACACACTTACCCACTTGATCCAACTTTCCGTCTCCTCTTCCGAGAGCCTTGAAATGGTGCGAGGCAGATACCTGAGCAAGCTCTCCTTGACACAGGAAGAAGTAAAAGTGCCTTTTGTCTCTATCAAGCTAGCAATAACATCAGCGATCCGGCCAGAGCCTTCCACCACGACACAGGGAATCTTGCTCTTGATGGCCACATTGATAGACTAGGGAGGGAGAGAGAGAGGTGACCACTTGAAGCACGACTGTGTTATTAGAGCCTACTATTCCCTAAGAAAGCCTAGAGGCTGGAGGCTTGACTTAGGTGAGAAAAACAGGAACCCATGAGTAGTACTTTGATTACTGCCCACTGCTACCTTACCAATGCCAGCCCTTTACAACAGCATCCACCTGATGACAGAGCTGTGAAGAGCCCCACAGAAACTGAGGGACAGAAATCACCATCTGCCAAACGTCAGAGCTGATTAGCAGATCAGGAATATTGCCAAGGGGAAATGGCATTCAGGACACATTGGAGCATTGCCCAGCCAGAGTCACTGCTGTTTCATGGCGCAGCACTGCTCACGTACGAGGGCCCTGGCTTTATTTGCTGGATGTCCAAGCAGCAGTTGTTTTTACACAGAGATCACTTCTGTAGTATCATGAGAATATTGAACTCCAATGTTACCAAACGTCCCCAAGTAGCTAGTTATGTGATATCTCACACAAGTGGTGTACACTGCTTATGGGCAAGAAAAAAAAAAGGTGCTGAAGTAATGCTGGAAGGGCCATTAGCCCCCCTGTTGCAAAGACCACAACAGGAGACATTTGTTTCATTTGCATCACAACCATTGAGGACACAGCCACCAGAATACAAGCTGTCTGCTGGCAAATTGCACAAAAGGAGTCAATGCATCCATCAGGGGAAAGACAGAATGTTTATTCGCTCCCTGAAGAGACAGGTTCATGAGAAAAATCAACCTGGAGTCATTAAAACTGTGAGCACATTACTCCTGTATACTGAACAACAGGTCCACGATAAAAGCAAGGTGTTCTTTCTTGCCAACTAGACCCAAGTGGTTTTCTTAAGAAGAGCCCAGCTAAAGTGCGAGTTTTACTTGACAGGAACTTTAAAACAGAAGCTTGAAACAGTTTTACTTCTCCTGTGCTAGGGCTGATTCCTGTCATGCACCAGTCACAGGAGCTAAGGAAGAAGGAGTCTCTCCTGGCCAAGAGGAGGGCATGGCAAGGACAGACACCCACAGCATGAACTGTGCTGTGTCACTGTGGGCTCGTCAGACACTCGCTTTAGTCCTTGAGAAAATGGCTTCACCTACAAATGAGCAAAAACGCAGAGATGAATGTCTCAATGGACTAGTAACACTGACAAATAGCCAAGAGATGGGCACGAACCCTCCAGTTCCTTTTCAGAGGAGCCTCTTGCCAGGAATGGGGCATTTGATTTACCAAGGCTTTCATTCATTCTGATTAGTTAGCTAGGAAGCCTGTGTTACGTATCATTTCTCAGCAGTGGGTTGGAGTTCTCTCCGTAACACCCCTGTAACCACAAGGCTGCCCACGCAGCTACACTGCATGGCACACAGAAACAGCTCCTTCACCGTGGTCAAATCCTCTCTTAGATGGTGGCATTTTGGAACTAAAAGGAGATGGGCACATTCAACATGTAATTTTCAGCAAAGCTTTGCTCTCAAACCTGAATGGATGCTTCGCTTCATTTTAGGACCACTGATTAACACACTGAACTCCATCTGTATTCACCTGCAATCTGCCTGTGGGCAAAGCTAGAATTCATCATGTGAATGGAACCAGAACACCCAGGAAGCGTACAGGGAGGCCGGGATAATGATCTGAACTTTCATGGAGTTGTTCAGACCGATGGATTAGTGTTAGCAATAAAGCGGTAACAGAGGCTGTGTGTTGAATTCCCACTGTCATCCTGACAAGCAAAACAGTTTGATTAGCCTCAGTATTGACAGCACAGCTCCAGTCAGAACAGGTAGCACCAAGATCACATCTTCGAAAGAGATAATTATAATATCACCCTGCTTCAGTTTTACTGACTGAAGCACTGACATACTCTTCATTGTATCCTACCTTGCAAAACCCAGCCCCCTCTCAAGGTCCTTCAGCCCGGGCTATGTCAGCTCTTTGTCTTGCTGCAAGTCAGAGCCAGCTCATCCTCACCCACCCTGGCTGTTCCCTTCCCACACAGCCTGATTTCACATCCTCTGCTCCCAGGTCCCTTTGCTCCCCCAGTTCCACCCTCCTCACTCAGACCGCTCATCGTCACTCTTGCAAGTAGAGGAGGAAGTAACAATCCTGTTGTTTAACACTGAGACAGATCTAGAACTCACACTAATTGCACTAATCTCCACTGCACGTGGGCAAGTCAAGTTTTCCCAAACCAAAGTTTAGGCAAATTTGTATAAAAAGCATCAAATGCTACATGGCTGACAAAGACTCTTCTGATCGCTGCTCAAATAAACACAAGAAACAAACTTTTTTGTTCTGGATTTGTTATGGGAGAACTAAGAAAACTGAACTATCCCAGCCAAAAGTTTCCAGAATGTCAGCCTGAGACAGAAATTTTGCATAGAAAATGTTAACTGAAACAAACCTCATAAGCTTAAATGCAACTGCAAGCAAGGTGCTATAGCAAGTGCTGGGCAAGCTTGAGTAAATAATATGACTGTCTACTTTATCATGTTGCTTGTGGAGCAACCTGTCTTTAAATACTAAAGCAATATCCCTACTGTCGCTCCTGGAAATAAGGAAATAAACTTACTTTCAAAGTCCCTTTCCCTCCACCTTGAGCAAAACACACAATTGGAATCTTCCCACCATAATTAGACTCTGTGAAACATGCCAAAAGAAAAAAAAAAAAAAAGGAAAAACATTCAACCCATTAACACAGTTTGAACAACTTATTTTTCCTGAGTATAATGAAAGAATTTCCAAGCAGTTCACGCAGACATTCCACTACGAGTTTACTGTTGATTTTGCCAAGTCTATTAACAGTTATTTCCTGTTTTTAATGAAAACACAGTTTTGCCTAATGTTCTGCATAGCTGCCTTCAGACACCCTTCTCCACCTGATGCTTTTTTCCTGCTCCCAATCAAATTTTTTACTAGCTCCAAAGTCCCCAAAACACCTGATTTTATTCTATTTACCTCCTGCTTTGACCATTTTGAGTCTAGGTGGAAGGTTCTTATCACAAGTTGAAGATTCAGAACTTCTGACTTCACATTTTCATTTGTGAAGGAAAGCTAGCAACTCTGTAAACCTAGGAGCTAGAATTTAAAAGACATACTAAGTTTCGTAATGATTCTGGGTGCTTCATCATGACTAACAGCAAGTGTGCTTGAGCTTAGATACACAGTAAAAAAAAAAAAACAAAAAACAACACCAACCACAAAAAACTCATTAACTAAGAATTCCCTGACAAGGCTTTTAATTTTTTACTTTTTGGCAAAGAAGGAGCTGAAAGAGAAATTATTTAGGAGTAGGTTTCAGATGAACCAACCACCCTCACAAGTCAATATTCTGGGAAAAGCCTAATTTCAGCTCCTGTGTAGTTGTGCTTCAGCTGCCTGGAATTCCAGGTGGGGAGTAGAAGGGTCAACTTCCAACAGATAGCCCAGCAGGAAGAGAGGGAAGGGCTGGATGGCTGAAATGGATTATTTGCTGTGTCCCACAAAGGACTATTATCACATACAAAAAGAAAGACAAGGGGAAGGATGTTGCTCTGAAGAAGCCTGAAAGAGCTGAAGACGTAATGCAGTTAACACATCCCTTCCAGCTTAACGTCCAAGGGATGCCACCACTACTCTCTTGTTCTCATAAAATAGCGTTAATCAGCCCCAAAGCATGCGAGGACTAAGGGGAAGGAGGTCTGCAAGCTGATGCCCACACCTACCTGGGATAACCAGCTCCGAAATGTACTTTTCTAACTGAGTTCGTACTTTTGCCTCTACCGTCGGGTGCCCATGGGTGCCGTTATCAACCAGCAAGAGATGGGTGTGATTATTATCCAGGCAATAGAGCGGGTCTCTCTTGAGATCATCCATTATGTAGTGGGCCAAGTAGTACCCCTACAAGCACAAGCACAGCGTTTAACAAGGGCAGAGCACGCACAAGCCTTCAAAGACAAACCAGTGAGAGCTGAACCCCTAGCCACCAACTATTCCTCATTAGTTAGGAGTCTGGATTTCCTGACTTGAGACACTGCTCACTGGCAGTCCCAACAGCAGCAAAGACAGCGAGAGAAACCCTATACAAGAGCAAAGCATAAATATTTGCAGAGAAAGTTTTCTTTTACAAGAGCGACAGAAGTTATTTGCAACGGTTTAGTCCTTTCAGAGATCCTGTTAAGCAATGCACACTTCCTTCAACCAGCAGAAACATTAAATCTGTGGCAAACTTACTTTCAGTGCCTCCCAGAGTCACAAAATGTTTTAGGTTGGAAGGGACCTCTTGATCATCTAGTTCAACCCCCAAACCTCCTTACAACCCTCAGTAAACTAAAATGGTTGGTTTTTTTTTTTATCTAGCAGAGTCTTTTTTTAGCTATGATCTATAACATGTAGTGGACAAAAGACAAGGCGAGCTATAGCAGTGTGTCTGACACACAGGACGACAGTATCAATGAGTCGGTACAACTGACAGCCAAGCCTCCGCTTTGTGTCCCCACCAACTGTACATGTTTCTTACGTTATCATCACCACTGCGAATCAGACTTTCTCGGTTGGAAATCATGCCCCAGGCTGCGATGCCTATAGCCACCACGTTCTCTTCCGAGCTCCGGCTGATGGTGTTGTCTCTGACCACTTCGCCGATGTACTTCATCAGCCCATAATGCGTGCCTCCTGTGAAAATCCAGGCCCCTGGGGACAACATCCAATCTCCTGGGAGAAAGTAGTGGAATACCCACCCTCCTAATGCATGACCTTTAAGATACCACAACCCAATCCCCTCTCAAGACTTTACCTCAGAAGAGATATTTGTTCTTCAATTAAACACAAAAGATATGCTACACGACTTACCTGATGTTATCATGGGCACCTGACGACTAGCTCTCAACCCTGTTACTCCAAATCATTAGAGGTCACATTTGCCACAAGTGCACCAACCAAACAAACAAAAATCCAACACACTGCTTCCCTGTTGACCCTTTGAGCTGTTACCTCTCCAACAGCATTAGGCAGCAATTAAAAAAAAAAAAAACCACACAGAGATAGGCAGATCTTTACCTTTGGACTGGGCAATGTAGATCAGCCTGCTGAATATCTTGCGCATCCGGGGCTTGAGCGCAAAGTTCTTTGCGCCCCCAGTGACAGAGATGACCAGGTTAGGGGTTTTCAGGTGCCAGTGCTGGGTCATGAGATCATACAGCGTTTCGGAGTCTGTGTCGCACGACAAACGGATGTACTTGGGTGAAAGAAAATAAGAGAACAAATATAGCAATGGATAAATAGTGACAGCTAGGAACAGACAAGGAATAGCATTTTCTTCTCTAATGCATCTTTATCCTCCTTCTGCAACTAGGCACCCACAAGCCACCTTCCACTACAGGAAGGCAAGAGCATGGATCTTGGGATCCAGAGGAATGTTGTAAGGATGAACACAACACCAAGGAAGCTTATGGTGTAACAACTAACTGTAAGAATACTATTTATAGCTTAGATTCTGGATTAGTGGTAGTATTGTTGTAAGTGAACTAACTAATTACAGTTGTATTTTGATTACATTATTAAATCCTTAATTTAATAAACTATAAATTGCAGGCTCCATGTGCATGGTCTCTCTATCATAGCATATATTCATAAGAGCATTTCAAGTTGTTATCAACGAAGGCACTTTCGCGGCTAGAAAAAAAGTTAAAATCTTATTTTGTTTGTAGGTGGAGAATAAGCGAGCAGTGCTGGGCGTGAGGGGAGCATCTGCTCTACCAACAGGCGTGCCTTTCCACAAAACCTATCCCCCTATTTATTCCCCAAAATGTTGCATATCCATTAAGTTTCACAATACATTCATTCATATTCGTTTCCCAGCCCCGCTTCTTATTATAATTAGCTAAAGAGTCCTTTAGGGGTCCGAGGAGTCTCCTGTATCTTGTGGCCTTACGGGTGTTGCATTCTCTCATCTCGTTTTGTTAGCAGTTCCTTCCCCTATCATCACAGTTTTGATCCTCTCATCCTGTCTTTTCTGTTTCTTCCATCCGATTTCTGCTGGCAAACTGTAGTTACTTAGAACTGGAATTATGGGGGGAAGAGGGGATGCTTGAGAAATCCCAACAGGAATTTACTTCTCCATCACTGTTTGGTACATGAATTCATACACTCTGGAGGGGGTGGGGGAAGCAAAGCTGTCTCAAAAACCCATTTGTGTTAATGTACGCACATCAAAGTTCATAGAGAAATAAGGAGAATGCACCTACGAAAACAACTACATTAATATTTTCATATCATTTGTTTAGCATAAGATTAAACCCACAGTTAAACAATATACGATCACATCATTCAAAAACTTCTTTAAACAGAGGAGCCTTGTCCTATAGCCTGAAGGGGAAATTCAGTTTCACAGTCTCTCAGCTGAAACACTCAGCTCTTTACCTCAAGCACCTCCACTGAATGAACTGGAAAGGGAGAAGCAAGGGAGGATAGACCCAGGTGATACTCCACAGATTAGCATCTAAACACGTCCTCAACCCAAGGCAGGCCCAGGGCATCTCTGTCTTTGTGAGAGCAACCCTTTGTTTTAAGCACTTTTTCACTTGCAATGTCTTCAACCACACAAGGATTGTACTTCCAAATGCTAAAATTGGCCTGGGTGTATGATTCAGCTGCGACGTTGTACAATGCTGTGCAGTTATCCAGCAATGCCACACTGCCCGGGGAGGCACTGCACTGTGCACAAGGAAGGCGCTCGCTCAGCACGGGAACATCACCATGCCCTTTCCTTCCTACTCTGCATTTCACCTGCGTTTGCTGGAAATAGGTTGTTTTGTGTTGTCACATCTTTCCTGGAAGTTACATCATTACATACTTCCAGACATTTAAAGAAACCTGCAACACAGATTACAACTCAATCAGTGGTGTTAATGAAACTGCTCAATTCAAGTGCCCTTATATTTGGTCTCTGATTTTTTTACAGACAAGTCAAATACCCTGTCTTGAGGGTGAATTCTTTCACACAATCCCATTACTGTCCCATTTCTTTCATTCCTAAACTGCAAGAAGGGTCCTTGAGAAGGGAGATTTCTGGGCCATGGCTGCTATAGTTTTCTCCAGCACAACAGCATGAGAGCAGCTCTTCTCCATTTCTTTTAACACGAATCATAACCTAACATACCACAAAGTATAACACAAAACAACTCCATCAAACATGCAGTAAAGCTTGAACACTGTATGAGGATGCCAAAAAACATGCTAGATGATAGATAATGGGGCTTCAGAGGGACCTACTGAGTCTCCATTTATGTAAAAGGCTCTCTGGCTTTTTCTTGCTATGCTCTTCAAGACCCCCTTTGTGATTTCATCACTGTTAGTACTTCAGGATGATGGACTTTTGGAAGACAGTCATGGCTATACAATCCATACCAGGGGATGACAAGGAGTCACTCGGACTAGAATCACGGGGGATTTTGTACAGATTGCCCAGTATTTGCAGGAGAGCAAAACCAAGGGATTAGTTTGAGGAAGAACTGTCTGTATCTTGAGAGGCATTTAACTCAAACACAAGAACAGTCATCTGTTCCAGGATGGGTTCCCAGGAGGAGTTACTGCACCTGGCTCAGAAGAGAATATCACAGAGCAAGTCTAGCAGGCTGCAGCAGCTACGCAGGAGAGCTAATGGACATCCCCAGCTTCTGCTTTAAGCAGCATCAGCCACGTGAAGCCTTGGGTGTTTTTCAGGAGAGGGTCCCCCGCGGGAGAGGGGAGCCTGCCTGAAACGTTAGCTGCTCTGCAGAGCTGGTAAGCCATCCCCACAGCAAATCTTGTTAGTTCTGCAGTTAGCAGACATTTATCCTAAACCCTCCTGACACACAAAGCACCTCCTATCTGTATGACCACCTTTCTTCCAGCAACAGGTAAGGTCTCCAGTTGAATAACTTGTTGTTTTCATCTCTGCATTCAATGTACCAGAACTATACATCTGGCACTTGCCACCTCCAGAGTCCTAGGCAGGCTGTGCCCAAGCAGGGGGATCCCCTTGTTCAGCCACTTTCCTTCTCTGAGGTACAACGTTGCCACCTCCTGGCACAGCCGGCTGGTGCACCCCAACCATCACCGATCCAGCCAAACCACTGACACCGGCCACGCCAAGTGCCTCCCAGTACCTGAACTCAGAAAGGTACTCGGAGAAACATTTTTTCCCAGATTAAGGGCTGCCAAAACATAAAATACAGTAACTGCAATGTCCTTGGATGTGACAAGATCCGAACAATGCTGCAAAAATAAGAGTGCAAGCAGGACTTAAATTGCTCTGTTCATATCTAATATTTTCACTCAGGACTTTTTAGGACCCATCCATCCTAAAAAGTACAATGCAAGGTGTAAAATTTCCCATCCCTCATTGATAAGGGTCTGCAACTCTTAAATTCCCTTGGGTTTGAAGTTCTTCCCACTGGGCACAAGATCGAGAGAAAACATTTTGCAATATTTAAGACCTGCAGGTGCCTTGCAATGTAAGGAAGGAGAATGTGGAATAGAGACATGGCTCCAGCCCATGTGCTGATGGGACAGATGAGCAGACTTACATACAGCATTGGAACCAAGTATGCTCTGAAACACATACAGTGGCACTGACAGTCCTCGTGAAACAACTACGGACACGCAAACCAGTTTCCAAGGTGGGAAGGGGGCACAACAGGAGGAAAGAACATTTAAGCTTTGAGAACTCAAATTTTGCAATAAAGCAAATAATTTCTTATTTCAGTAAAGGTACACAGCAGCTTACAACACAGTAGTATGAAGCTAAAATACGCATATCAACAAGTACGTGAAGTACTTGGATCTGTTTAAACATGATTCAAAACCTTCAGTCCTGCTTCCCACCCAAATGTCTCTCATTTCTTTTACTTCGCATAAAATAAACCCGATTAATTTACATAGCATACGTTGATTTTCCTCATTTATTTTGATTGTCTCAAGCAAGCTGCACTGGCAGCACATATCAGTCATTTAGAAGAGGCAAATGAGCTCAGCCACATGTGACTCCTCACACAGTATCAGCCTAAATCATCAGAAACAGCAACACCAGCTGTTTTCTTCTTTCCACTCCTCCACACCAAGGAAAAACATGAGAAAAAAAAAAAAACCCACAACAGAATAAAACCTCTAAAGTTCCACTAACTGTAGGATCTCCACCCCGGGAAATATTCAATATTCCATCAGTTATGGGCCTGAGCAAGCTGATCTATGCAGATATGCTCTGAGGAAGAGTTTTGGCTAGCAAACTCCAGAGAGCCCTTTCAACCAAAATTATTCTATGAGAGCGTGGGTCACATAAGCCCCATTCCAGCATCCCACAACATCCTCCAGAGTGTCCAGTCCAAGGCATAAGTGTTGTGGTTTAGAAAGGCCAGAGG